AGGTCTTCCTTTGGGAGGCAACCCAAGGAGTGATGACTTTGGATCCTTGTCTTGGAAAAAATATGAGAAAAGATTAGTAGCCTGGAAATGTAACTACATCTTGTTGGGCGGAAGGATAACTTTGATTAAGTTTACTTTGGCCAACCTTCCCTTGACCTATCAGTTTTTGGTAGTGGATAGAAAATTGGAGAAGTTAATGATGCATTTTTTGTGGAAGATAGGGGAAAGAAAGAAAGATCATTTGGTGAAATAGGAAACAATTTGTAGGAGCAAGGAACAAGGAGATTTATGAATAAAGAATGTTACGTTTAAGAATTAAGCTCTATTAGGAAAATGGTTGTGAAGGTTGCCTTTGTAGAATGAAAAGTTATGGCGCAAGGTGGTAAAAACTAATAGGCATATATGGATTGTTGGCAAATGGCTGGGATGTTGGTGTATCTCCTCAAGCTACCTTGCTCTCTCCTTGGAAAGCTATTCATGCGGTTCTTCATCAATTCTCAAGTTGTATCTAGTATGATATCTATTATGGGAATAACATTTTGTTTTGGGAAGACCTTTCGGTGGGTGAGGTGCCTCTTAAAGATGCTTTCCCTTCTCTTTATATGGTTTCACGTTTTAAAAAAGAGCTTATTTCTAAATTTTGTTCCTTATCCGATGGGATAGCCTGGGGTTTGGCTTTTAGAAGAGGGTTGAGCGAGGCTCAAGCATGATAGATCCCTCTAAGTTTGATGACAGGATTTGGACTCCCAATACAAAAGGTATTTTCTCTTGTGCTTATTTTCTTTTTAGCCTTATGTCACAGATTAATACCCCCTCTTCCAAATTATTAAACAATGCTAAGAAACTAAGGTTACAGACAAAAGAATACATTCTGAAGTTGTCCTGTAAACGTTAAGATTCAAAACTTAATGATAGAATGAGATAGGTAAACTGATAAGGTAATATATTTCATTAAGTCAGATTATTAAATCAGATTTGTTGAAAGTCTTTGAGGAGTTTCATGAGAGGGGTGCCTAGACCAGAAGCCTCAATACTACTTTTATTTATCTATTATTTTAAACAAGTAGGGTAATATATTTCATTAAATAAAAGCCAAAAATATACAACTAGCTCATGTACACAGATGCTATACAGTAGGATTTTACAAAATAAAGAGGCAAGAAGTGAGTGTATGATGAAGAAAACAAAGATCAAGTGTCAAAATTCTATCAAATGTCTTGGCTAGGAGGATGAAAATATTAGGGAATTCATAATCTCCAATTCTAAAGGTGCTTTTGTGGGTAACCGACAGATCTTGGATGGAGTTTTCATTTCCAATGAGCTCATTTATTTGAAATTGAGGAGTGGAGCAGCTGGTATTTATGCAAAGTGGATATGGAAAAAGCATACAATCATGCGAATTGGTGTTTCTTGGACTATGTGCTTATGAGAATGAATTTTGGGTCCAAGTGGTCCAACCGGATTAAGATTTGTATCACTATCCCCCTCTTTTCCATTCTTATTAATGGGAGCACTCATGGGTCCTTTGTGAACTCAAGGGGACCCATTGTCTCCCTTTCTTATTTATCTGCATCACTGAGGCCTTGAGGTTGGTGACTTGGGAGGCGGTGGAACCATTGAAGGTAATATGCTCGATGGTTTCAAAACATAAAGGATGGAGGGTGGAGTGGCTTTAATACAATTTTTTGATAACACTTTATTGCTCTGTAACAATTCTATAGAGGAGCTGGAGATTTTGAGAGGGGTGCTAATTTGGTTTGAGATGGTTTCGACCTTTCTGGTTTGAAAATCAATTTGAATAAGAGCGAGATTATGGCTGTGGGGCAGTGTGGAAGTCCAAGAATTAGTTGAAATTCCGGGTTGCAAAATTGGTAAGCTTGCTACTAAGTACCTTGGTCTCTCTCTTGGACCAAAGTGTATCTCAAAGTCTATTTGGGACCTTGTTTTAGAAAGAATAATAAAAGATTATCATCTTGGAAGGCTAAATATTTATCCAAGGGTGTTCTTTCCTCTTTGCCAACCAATTATCTATCTTTGTTTCCCATTCCATCCAAGGTGGTGAGAAGTGTGGAGAGGAAAATGCAAGATTTTTATAGAGTGGCTGGAAGGAAGATTCCAAGATTCATCAAGTCAATTGGGAGAAAATTTGTAGGCCTAAAGAAAATGGGGGATGGGGATTAGGAAGATTAAGGAAAGCAATATCTCCCTTCTTGGAAAATGGCTGTGGAAATTTGATGATCAGAATGAGAGGCCTTTGGAAGGAAGTAGGGGTGTAAACGGATTGAATTCGAATCGAATAAGGCAATATCCGAATTCGAATCGAATAAGGCAATCTGATACTTGACGGATATTGAAAATCAATATTCGAATTCGAATTTGATTAAATATTTGAATATTCGATTTGATTTGATTTGAATTCACCAATTAAGTTTTATTTATATAAAGTATATAAATTATTTATATAATTTAATTATTATATATAAATTATATAAAACATTTAAATATTTTATATATTATATATAAGAATTAAATTATTGGTCGAATTCGAATATCTGTTGAATCAAATCAGGTCATATCCGAATTCGACCAATTATGATATTCGAATTATCCCAATTCGATTCGATTATGCCGAATCTCGGATTCGAAATCGGATTTTTGAATACCATTGACACCCCTAGAAGGAAGTGATTGAAGCCAAGCATGGCAGGAAAGAGTTGGGTTGGATAACTAGGGAGATGACTTCCTCCTATGGGTGTGCTCTTTGGAGAGGGATCAGCAAAGCTCATGCAGAGTTCTCAAAGTGATAAAATTTGGCATTGGGGATGGAAGTAGAGTTGGATTTTGGTCTGATAGTTGATGTAATGACAGCCCCTTGAAGGATATTCCTGCAGCTGTTCAGAATTGCAAGCAACAGGAATGCCCCTGTGAAGGACAAACTATGAAATGTGAAATAATAATCTAGTGTAGAGGCCTGCTTTTAGAAGGAACTTAAATGATTGGGAGCTTCCTGGTTTGATGGATCTTCTTCAAATGCTGAGTAGGATTACAATTGACCCTACTCAAGGAGATAAGAGATTATGGAGATAGGAGAAATCAAGAGGTTCTCTGTTAGATTTATATTCCATGGTAGCAGGTGGGGAGGTAGGTTCTTTCCCAGAAGGTCTAATTTGGCAATCCCACGTGCCATCAAAAATGTCTTTTTCTGGTGTGGACAGTAGCACTAAATTCCTGTTTAACCCAAGATAACCTGATCAGGAGGGGCATGGGGCTGATAAATGATTTCTGCTCATTATGCAATGCAGGAATGGAAAGCACTAATCATATATTCATCCATTGTAGGATTGCTGAAATCCTTTGGCAGTGGGTGAGAAACATTTTTGGTGTGATATTTTGTAATCCAGAATATGTGGAAGCCTTTATCAAGTGTTGGAAGATCAAGGGTCTTGAGAAAGAAGGATATACAGAAAATTGCTTTCTCTGCTGTTTTCTGGACCTTGTAGATGGAAAGGAATTCCATGATCTTTAAAAAGAAAGTTGAATCAGATGACTGTGTTAGCTAAGTTGAAGGCCAGAATTATTTCTTGGGCAGGTGTGAATAGAGCTTTTTATAAAGTTTCATATGATACTTTTTTTTTTTGGTAAAAGATTTCTTTTTGTAAATCCTGAAAGGACCTGAATTATAAGGCTGTTTTGGTTGAGAGCTGCATGTATATCCTGTATACAGGCCCTTGTCTACAATGATCTTTGTTGATTAATGGATACCTATAATTTACCTTTTTCAAAAAAAAAAGACTTGTCAGAAAAACAAGACGACTTTTGGGTGGGCAAGTCATTCTTTTAGAGGTTGTTGTGTATAAGAGCATATTTAACATGAATACATATTTGATCAATCTTTTACTGTATTATATTTATTTGATTGAACTTTTTGCCATGTCATTGTTCTTGTTCTGAAATTTACACAAACTTCCCCGTATCATATTTATGCCATATACATATTTACTTTGTTCTCCCATATTTCTTTGTGTCATCATCATCCATATCTGATTATCATAATTCATGGTAATGGTATATTCTGATCTGGTCGGAGATGAAGACTCCATTAGGCAACAATTATGCTTTGATACAGGGTTCCCTTGAGGGAGTAGGGAAGATCTCTCTCTCTCTCTCACTCACTCTGAGTAGAGACCTTGACTTGGCTAGTGACATTGGAATAATTTTAACCTTGGGCTAAAAGACAATTTATTTGGGCAAGTGGTGTATATTGTGCAGTAAATGTGTAGATGGCATAAGTGACACGCGGAGCTTCTTTCTCCTTGTCTTCCAAGTGAACACAAAATTCCAAAATCTCCATCTTTGAAGTTCCTATTGAAGATTGACTAAAATATAGGCTTGAGCATAGATGCCGAATCCCATGGAGATCATCCAGATGCAGTCACTTCATTTGCTATTTTTAAGGAAACATGGATAGAATGAAGAAGGTTATTTGTGGGTGTGGTGAGACTGCTTCCTAGGGTATGTATGGATGTTGTCCATGCATTAAGGATATAGAAGTATTTGTATCAGAAGACAATTGGGTGAAAGTTTTTAGGAAGTGATGATATACTATATATTTATTGTATATCTTTTTACTTTTTTGGGATGCAATTTATCTTGAACTCTTATAACTCCCTTTACCTGTAAGCATCAATAAAGTTAATTTCTCACTTACAAAAAAGGAAGATGGTTTGGGCATACTGGAGCCTATTTCCATCTTGATTTCAGAAACGAGTTGCTGAACTTAATCATATTAACCCTTTTTTTGATCTTTTTGGTTCTATTAATTTTAGCCATCCCACTCGAGTCCTGCATCATTCCCAACATTATATTGTTACCCTGGTTCTGATTAATGTTTCTTCAGATCAACAATAATAGGAGCCTTTTATATAAAATTGCTTAGTTCCCCTTATAATTTGACCAGTCTTTTTAAGTTGATTCCCATTCTTTCCCTATTTGTTTTGCAGAAGCAACACCTAAGACTATCATGAGAACAATGGGTGTAAAGGGTCTCACCCTGTATCACTTGAAGTCTCATCTACAGGTCTGTTTCTCTGCATTGCCTATCTTGGAAACTGTTTCCCTTTTGTTTCAGAGAGCATAAAGATGATGAATTTTATTCTTGATTGTTAGAATATTTAATTATAACATCATTCTAATAGATTTTATTTTTTCCATATTTATGTATTTCCTTTTCCCCACTATGGTTGTCAGCATCTAGATAAATTTGCAAGGCTAAGAACTAACTTTAGGTGTATTCATAAATAGAATTGTTTTCTGCAAGTGCTTATACTTCATTCTTTTGTTAGAAATATCGATTGGGGAAGCAATCCTGCAAGGAATTTAGTGACAGCTCCAAAGATGGTATACATCTTTTTTCTCTTTCTGAAGTACAGAAGTTTGTGCACTCACCTCTATGTATGGTTATACCTTAATGTTGACATTTTTTCTACTTGCTCATGATCTTGAATGGAAACTTCAAATTGAAATGTCTACGAGCTATATTTTGCTGAATGGATTATTTTTGTTTCCAATTGCCTGCTTCTGTTATGGCTTTGCCTTCCTTTCCCCAGGAACCACATCATGTGGGTTATGCTGGCTAAACAAAATGTTCACTCATTCTGTAATATTGCATGGGTTTACAGCTTCTTGTGTAGCAGAAAGCCAGGGTACTGTTTCATCATCTTCATCAGCATCATCAAGAATGATGCCTCAAGACTTGAATGAGTATGTTATGATTCTCTGTTTCATACTTACTACCATCTTATCTACCTTCTCCTCTTCCATTACTTGCAATATTTTGGCAGTGGTTACCAGGTTACGGAGGCATTGAGAGTCCAAATGGAAGTCCAAAGAAGACTGCATGAACAGCTAGAGGTAGGTAGTCTTTGTTTCCCCCACTTTTCACAACACATTCTAATGGTGATTTTCCTGACACCAGGTCCAACGCCATCTTCATCTTCGGATTGAAGCACAGGGCAAGTACCTGCAGTCCATACTTGAGAAAGCCTGCAAAGCTCTCAATGAACAGGCAGTTGTATCAGCTGGGCTTGAAGCTACTAGGCAAGAGCTCTCTGAACTGGCAATCAAGGTCTCAAATGACTGTCTGGGTGTGGTTCCACTTGATACCATCAAAATGCCTACCTTGTCTGAGCTTGCTGCAACTCTTGAAGAGAAATCTGCTTCTAGTGGGCCAGCTCAGGTTGGTGATTGCTCGGTTAACAGCTGCCTGACATCGACTGGGAGCTCAGTATCACCAATATGTATGGGTTCACAGGCTGCGGCAATGAAAAAAAGGCCAAGACCCATGTTTGGAGGTGGAGATTCACTATCATGGGAGAGTGGCATGCGGCAAGATGTTGAATGGATGATGACTAGTATTCGATGAAAGGTAGGAACAGCCCCACAAGGAAAAAAGGGTAGTAGTTCCTTGGTGATTGATCTAACTGAGCCTTCTATTATGCCAACTGTAACATCAACGGTCTGTATATTCTCTGAACAGATCCTTGTACTTTTTTTTGATCAGTAAAAGAGATTTCGTTATAAATTTAGAAAGATACAGAAATGATTAACCTCGGCCCCCGGCTACCCCACTAGAATTTAGAGTTTGCCAACTATCGACTTTTAATTATCCAGCCTTACAACTGAGCCCAGAAACAATGTTCCCTGTTAACACCCTGTTTTGCTAGCTAATCTGCAAAGCCATTTGCCGCTCTTGGAGTCCACTGTATTAACAACTGCATGTCCTTGGAAAAGCATTTAAACTTCTTAATTTCTTTTCTATAGAGCCAGGGAGTCTTTTCATTTTGCTTTAACCAGCTTATGACCACTTTGGAATCGCTTCCACAACCAGTTTTCTCACTCTCAAATCCACAGCCTTTTGCATCCCAAAAACCACTGCTTTTAGTTCAGCTCAGATGTAGTGGAGTCTCCCCCTTCCAATAGGGCCTGAGAACAACCCCACCACAGCCCCTTTGTCATTTCTTATCACCCCTCCTTGTACTTGGGAAACACTTCTCACTTGCAATGAAGTGGCATGCTTTCATTTTCAAGTCCAGCATATGGGAGGCTTGTGAATCTGTGATTGCCAAAGGGCCCTTCATCTGGGAGCTTGCGTTTTAATTATTGGATTGGTTGGTGTTAGATTTGAATCGGTGCATGTGCAAGGGAGCTTTGCTAGCAAGTAGGGGTGTCAATCAATCGGTTTGAATTGGACTGATCAAATTGATCCAAATCTTATCAAATTGGATTTGGACGGTCCATTATAATTATTGGATTGGGCCAATCCAAAATAAATTGATTCATATTATTATTGGTTTGAATTGGATCTAAACCAAATTTCCAATAATCTGATCATGACAATAAACCTTGTCCAATTTGAAATGGATCAAAACTGAATTTGGCATAAAATTACATTTAAGAAAATAATTTTACGAAAAAGCTTTTACAAAAGTACTTTTATGAAATGTACTTTTACAAAAACACTTTTACGAAAGCATTTTTACAAAAAATACTTTTACGAAAGCACTTTTACAAAAATACTTTTATAAAAGCATTTTTATAGAACTAATTTTATGAAAGCACTTTTACAAAAGTACTTTTATGAAAACACTTTTCTCAAAGTACTTTTACACGAAAGCACTTTTATGAAATCACTTTTACAAAAGAATTTTTTTTTATCAATAACAATAAGCTTTATTAATGAATAAGTTTTGTGAAACTTCAATTAGAGAAGGGGGGAGGTAAACTAACTATCTTGACTCCCCAACAACAAAAGAACAAAAAAAGAAGCTAAAAATTAGCCCAAAATCGAGATTCCTTAAATGCCCCTTGCTTGGCTAACCCATCAACCATTGAGTTAGCACTTCTCTTCACACAGCTATACTTCACCTCAATATCTCTACTCAGCCATTTAAATTTCTTCTTTTCATTGTTGTAGTTCCACAAACCATTGTTGTCTCCCTTTAGCCACCTAATCACCACCTCCGACTCCCCTTCAAGGACCAAGCGTATGATGTTTAATTCTCTTGCTCTTTGGATTCCTTCTAGAACTGTTAGAATCTTAGCCCTAAGAGAGTCACCCTCTCCAATTAGGCCTGACAACATAGCAGTAATAACCCCATCCTCATTCCTAAACACTCCCCCAATCCCAGAAGGCCTTGGATTCCTTAAGCTACTATCATCAAAATTCAGTTTTATGAATCTAGAGGGAGGGGGGGACCAAGAGGGCCCAGGAGTCCTCTTACATTGAGCAGAGGTAGCTATCTCTTTCCACTTTCTCGATAAGTCGGTCCTGGAAAATTCTAAGAATAACTCCAAAGGTTTCAGCTAGTGAGCTACCCTTAAGTGTATCAGTTCTAATAAGTTTTCTGTGGTTCTTTCCTTGTCTGAAAAGATTCGTGAGTTTCTCTCTTCCCATGCGGACCAACACACTGCCGCCTTAATGCTTCTCCACATAATCTTTCATATTTTCTTAGGCCATCTAAATAATGAAGGAGAGAACAAACTTTGCACACTCACAGAGGGATTCCAAGTACATTCAAAAAGGGAGAAAGCCCACTCCTAAACAGTTTTAGTAACTGGACAAGTAACCATAAGGTGGTAACCTGTTTCCCTATCAACTTTGCAAAGACTACACCTATTGRGAAATGAACAAAAAATGGGTCTCTTTCTCTGAAGCAATTCATTTGTGTTAAATTCTTTCCAGGAAAGCTTCCCAACAAAAACTACCAACCTGATGAGGAATGGGTTTGCTCCAAATCTCTTTAATAGGGAAGGATAACCCAAGAGGAGCAGGAGGCTGAATTAAAGTCTCAAAAAATGAAGCACAAGAAAAGGAACCAGAGGAGGATGGGGTCCAAAATCTGGTGTCTTCCTTACTAGGGTCCAAGAAAACATTTTCAAAGATGATTAGCAGAGACGAAATACAACCCATGTTTGTACCTTAATTGCCATTCTCAGGCCCAAGTTCCACCCAAAACCATAAATAGATTCTGAAGGAACTAAGAAGGATGAGATGGGTTCATTTTTCAAATATGACAAAGCATACAAAGAGGGAAATTGGTCCATCAGGGGTAAGTCCCCAACCCAAGGTCGCTCCCAAAATTTTATTCAATTACCAGAGTTCAGACCATACCTGATCCAAGGGGAGAAAACTGGAAGCAAATCATGAATGGCTTTCCAAGGGGAAGGAGCCCTTACCATAATTCTTGGATCCCAGTCATTCTCTTCTAGCCCAATTATGCTAGCCACTATCTTCATCCACAATTTGTCCCTTTCTAGTAGGAACCTCCACAATCATTTCCCCAACAATGCCATATTTCTTTTCCTAATATTCCCAATCCCTAGCCCTCCTAGCTTCTTACTTCTAGTTACCACCTCTCAACTCACTTTGTGATCCTTCTTCTCCCCTCCTGGTTCCCACAAAAAATCTCTTATTAATTTTTCCACGTTATTGGAGACCTTTGTGGGAATCTTAAACACTGCTGATAGGAAGTAAACAGGAATGTTAGCTAGGGTAGACCTAATCAAAGTGATTCTCCCCCCTAAGGAGAGATAATTTTTCCTACAAGAAGTAAGCATTTTCTCAAATCTCTCCACTTTTACAAAAGAACATTTACAGAAGTACTTTTATAAAAGCACTTTTACGAAATCACTTTTATGGAAGTACTTTTATAAAAGCACTTTTATTAAGGAACTTTTACGGAAGTAGTTTTACGAAAGCATTTTGACATACTTTTATGAAAGCACTTTTATAAAAGCACTTCTACAAAAGTACTTTTATGAAGTACTTTCATAAAATTGCATTTGTAAAAGCACTTCTGCGAAAGTGCTTTTTTAATGCCAAAAGGGTATATTTTTTGTAATTTTCAGATTTTCTTCATTTTAATGTATTTTTGTAATTTTTATATGTTCTGTTTTTATATATAATTTTTGATATTTCATCTGGTTTGGATTGGATCCGACCCAGTCCATTTACATTTTAATGGATTGAATTGGATTTGGTTTGTGTTGGATTTGGACTGGATTGGATCCAACCATCTGTAAGTAGACTCACATTGGACTGGATCGGGTTGGACTAAATCTAGTCCAATTGATACCTTTACTAGTAAGTGGATGCCAGTCAGGCCTCCCACTCTAAACGTGAGGGATTGTGTCTATACAAGAGACTAAGGTGGCGTTTGATAAATTTGAAATCTAAAATCTGAAAAGTTAAAAGGATATTAAAAGTGTCTAAAATCTGAAAAGAGCTATGATGCTTTTCTACTTTTTAGAGGCTTTGAATAGATAAGGTTGTCTGTGTTGGATCAACCCTTTAGCATCTGAAGTTCCCTAATTTTACTATTTTAACCCTAGAACAGACTATTTGATAATTTTGAGTTCAATTTGCACTATTTCATATCAAATCATTTATGAAATTCAAAATAATATTGAAATAATACAAATAATAAATAATAAATAACACAATTAAAATTATTAAAAATAATTGATGACTAATAAAAAATATTAAAGTAATTAATACTTAATAATTAAAAAAATAACACAATTAAAATTAAAAACAACACAAAATGCCTTAATTTGATCTTGCAAGAAGATACAACACAAATTACAGAAACCCAGATGTTCTTATACTGAGATTATGACTGATTAAAAGAAAAAAAAAATTTCTTTACCTTAATTTTACAAGGCTAACAATGTAATGGACTGAGTTGGTCCATAACCACACTACTGGATATGGGGACATGGGAAAAGGAGAGGAGTCGAGACAATTCAATAAAAAAATCAAATAAACAAAGAATGAATGTTTTCTCAACAGTTAAGAGATTCAATAAATAAACAAGGCATCGTACAAAACAAAGCAGGAAGGGGAAAAACAAAGCATGGATGTTATCTTAATAGTTAAGAGATTCAATAAACAAATCACATAATCTAAAGTTTGCATGTTATTATTAACAAGCTTAAGAGATTCAATAGTTAAAGGTAAACAAACCAAACAAATCAAACAACTGTAAATAGGAAAGAAGAAGAAGAAGAAGAAGAAGAAGAAGAAGAAGAAGAAGATACTTTCGGTGAAGAAGATACCTTTGCTAGGCGTCTGGCACGACTATAACCCCTACAAAATGAAGATTTATGGTGAGAAATTTGACGTTTGACAAAGAAGAAGCAAACATGAGAGAAAAGAAGGTCTTGCAGCCATACCTGGAGCAATCTTCACGAGCAGAGATTTCTTTCGTGTTTGAAACAAAAATGGGCTAGGTTTTTTGGTTTGGGGGTAATCAGGGGCATCAGCGCATCATTTCAAAAATGTTGGGGGGGGGGGGTAGTTTCAACTTTTTACTAGCACTAAAATGCGTCTGAGCATGTTAAGAGACGGGCTGCACGCTTTGAGTTTCAGACCTAAAAACGAAATTCAGATCATTTTTTAGGTGCGTCATCAAACGGGTCTGGTGTCTGAAGAGCAAGTTTTTCAGCACAAGACGTCTGGAAAGTGTTATCAAACGCGCCCTAAGCCATGCTAATAAGTGGAGGCATAGGGGTATTCATGTGCAAATATGCCAGTTGTTGTCTAGTTTGTGTTTATGCAACCAGAAGCACCTACTTGTTCAGAGTCCTTCGCATACACTTGGCGAAACGTTCCCCAAGAATGGGATAGATTCGATTTGATCATTTGATGTCGATCAACCTGCTTTGTCCATTTGGGCTGGGAGGTGTTGCTCAAAGAATCTGTTGTAGAAGTTGATCATCTTTACGCAAATAAAGAATCTTCTTTGTCCATTCCAGTTTTTATATCTAGCCAAGTAGTATTAATAAGATACCTCCAAACTGATGGATCTAACTATCCTGATACTTAAGACATTTACCGACACTTTTAATGGGGTGATGATGCTTCAAGCTGAAGTTGGCAAAACATATTGGGACTTGATGCTTTAAGACATGGTGTCTATGAGGAAGGAGACTGAAGTTAAGTGTGAACATTTTGATTTTCCAAATGGGTTGACAGTTGACTACACAAATCCTATCCTGTTAATGTGCTCTATCAACTCGGCCCATGTTTTCTTTGATCTCTCATGGCTCTTCTCAGTCTTTCTTGTACAAAGTAACTCTTCACTATTACAGTCATTAGTTTTCTATGGACATGATTAAACCATCTCAGTTAGCTTTGCCTCATCTTATTATTAAGTGAAGCTCCTCCTATTTCCTCTGTATTTATTTCCTTTTAGTTTCATTGATACATGCCAAATTGCTAATCATACAGCACCCATATTCATCTCTCCACTTCAGCCACCTTGATATAATTCTATGGGGTGGGCAACATCCATTTTAATTTTATGTGCAAGTGATTTAAGGCACCATAAGTGGTTAGTTTTGGGTATCTTCTGATCATCACCAATCTTAATCACAGCACCATGTTACTAACATTTTTACTAAAATTGCAATAAATGTATCCTTGGTCCAACTTTTCTTGAGACCTTTTGATTACAAAGCATCTCACCATTGTTCTAGCTTTACATCTCACCACTGCAATAAATTTATCCTTATCAACCAATGCTAATTTATGATGGATACCCCTCCACCAGGAGTACAGTTTGGGGTTTAAAAAAGAAATGACTAAAGTCTCTTGGTGGGATACTGCAAACAATCAATTCCATGTATACAATGGTGTTGCCAAAAATATCCATCATGAATTAGATGCCATCTGTGGGTCATATTTTGTTTAGTCTTCTTATGGTCAACGTTTTCTATATATGACCTATCATTCCTATACTTTCTCCCTTCCCTAACTTTCCTCATGATTTACATACTTGTACAAATGCTAATATAATTTAAAAATGATTATTTTAGTATGCAATTTGTTTTCTTCAATCTTCTCAAGGATGATTCTCTTTATTGCTATAAAAAAGTGATTTCTCTTTGATATGTATTCAGTTTGCACCTTCAGCCCCATCATCATCCCCAATCCAGGGATATGAACTCGACACAAATGACCACTAGATACCACCTAAACACCACTCAAAACCGAACACGTGATCAAACTGGACACTTAACTGTGCTATGTTGAAATTCAAAGTAATACATCAGCTTGGTTCTATTACTTCAACTAAACATGAATGCTGTTGGGGAAAACCATTAAGTGTCTGTTTGGCATCGACGCCGTTGCTCCAGAAAATTGTGACACACCAGCGCCACGTCGAGAAACATGGTGCTCCAGGAAAAGCCAATATGTTTGGAACCATTTTTCCATAAAAAATGGTTTTCTAAGCCACGCCTTGGAAATCGAGAATGCGTGGTTTGGAGCAATGCCAAATTTGACGTTTTCTCATATTGCAGCTCGTTACTGCCAATGAGGACATGATGTGGTAGTGACGTGGACTTCCTATAATGGGTACCAGTGCTGAGAACAGATATGGAGCATTGATACCAAACAGAAAGTGTTGTTGCTCCAGGAAACGTCCTACCTGGCAACAACGTTTCCAAACAGATAAAAAAAGGACACCATTTTCAGAGAAAACGGTGCTTCCAACCCACACATCAGCAGACGGTGCTGTATCTGCAGCACCGATGCCAAACATATACTAAGTTTCAAGGTGATTTCTGCTTAAACCTGTCTAACAAGCAAATACAACTTTATTTGCATTTTAGGTATTGGATAAAAGAAAAAGAACTATGCAAGGTGAACTTTGCTGCAAACTGGTTATATTTATTAGTACTATTTCACATATCTTTTCATATGAGTTCTTTGAATAGAAGCTTGAGATTGTATGAGAATGGTAACTGGTAACAACTAAGGTTCATAGTGTCCAAATAAATATCTATATAGATCCCAGTCCTGGTTTGCATTAAGGAAGTCTAGAAGGATAATGAAGTGGGTGTTGATACTCCCAGTGGATAAGAGAAATCTGTGTTGCCTTTAGTAATGCCTTGATATTTATAAGTGATTTTTAGTTTTCATTTGCTTTTCTATTTAATTTTTCATTTAAATCCATTTGTATGAGTGTACTTAGAAAAATACAGCAGATGGCTTGTCTCCTGAACTCCTCTCCCTTTGTTGCTGGTTTTTTTAATTTCTCTTTCCACAGTTCTTTGAATTTCTCATAAGCTTGTTTATGTATATAGTGAGTTAGAATATTCAACAATTGTGCCTTGCATGCAGAAGTCTTATAGAGAGACTCTAATCCAATTATTTATGTGAGCATCTGCGTTTGCATAGAAATAATAAGACCAATTAATTGAGTTTATTACCATTCATCCTATCCTTAAGGGGGCGTTCTTTTTTTTGGATTTTGAGAGGGGGAGGGAGTTGGTCAAAGATATTTTGATTCCCATTGACCAAGAAACCCATGTTCTTGGTTCAGATTTATGTGGGGACTAGGGAAAGCTTATTTTCCTGGGTATCACTTACCCCATCTCTTAGGTGGGTAAATAACTTTCCCACCTTTGGGGAAAGTTGCCAACACTTGAATTGGACAAAAATGGCCCTTTTAATAATGGATTTTTATGGCTAAAATGGCCATTGTCTTATTTGCATGAGAAATAAAAGAACATGGGTAGATAAGTGCATTTACCCAGGTAAGTAACTTACTGAAAAGCGAACAGGGCCTAAATATATATTGCCTTCCCAAGGTAACCATTAGTTCTTTTTAGTGTCTTCTTCATTTAGGTACATCTTGCCTATTACCTGCACTGAAATCATTTTTCTTTGGGAGTATGTTTTTCCATTGCAATACAGCAAACAAAGATAGGAGGTTAGAGACAAAGCTTGAAGGAAAAATGATTGAAGCCATCCAACACATGTATTCATCAGTAAATAAGACTTTAGTCAATGAACAGTATGAGATTTCCTCAATTCAATTAGTTGAGGACAATCAAAATCAGTATGAACAGAATAGTCAGTTCAGGTAAGGACAAAGAACTTGGCTTTTTAATCAGTATGAAGTTAACCTTTTTAGTGCAATTGGTGAGACTGGGAAAGGAAAATGTAACCTGTCCAAGAACCTGGCTTAACCATCTTGGTTTTGTCTTGATAGTTAATTCAGGTAAGGACAAAGAACCTGGCTTAACCATCTTGGTTTTGTCTGATAGTAAATTCAGGTAAGGACAAAGATCTGTGGAAAAGGGCATTGGTCCTAGTATGCCAAATTTTCAGTATTGGTGTTGGTACCTTTCAGAGGGATAAAAGGTATTGTGATCACTTGCTTTCCTGACCCTTTCCTCCTAGGTGATTGATTCTACTGTTATCACCACCATTTGGTTGACTGAATAGCTGTAAAAGGGTACTGAATGTGTTTTATACTTCAATTTTTAGTTTTTAATTTTTTTTTTTTTTTAATTTTACGGTCTTATTACCCTTGTTAGGGAACCCTTCCAGAAACTCTCAGAGGCCAGGGGCAAGCCTAGGCCTAAGAGGGGGTCTGGAAATGCTTTTCAACCAGCAATTGATGTGCCTCAGTTAATCTAGGTAATCTGAAGTTATAGATGGTAATGGAGTTTAAAGACTTCAAGTATGAATTAGTAATTGACCCAAAAGGTTAAAATAAAAAGTTTACCCATCAAGGGGAGAGGGAGATAAAGAATGAAGGAATTGGTAATTGAGACAGAGACATGGATTTCCGGAGTTCCCCTGTTTTGGTAACTATGAAACTATGTAAGATGCAGAGAAATAGGCACAACCCTTTAGAAAATCATTGTAAACTAACAAACAAGGAGACATCTCTACCATTTATATTTACAAGAACAATCTGAAACAGTTATGCATGTTTTTCTCTTCTTTTTGAAGATCATAGCCATATTATACAACAAAGTCCTGTCGTAAATCATTTTCCCATCAAGCTATACCAAAATCTCAACTGTTGGTTTGAGTTTCACTGGATGCCAAGAGCTTGAATTCTTTTGATCAATGACAAGGAAGAGTCATTCCTGCGCTTCCATTCTTCCCTTCTTTCTTTCCTCTGTACTCTTTCCTCTAAGCACTGGTCATTTCCATCTAGTATGCTCACGATTTTCCTCATGCTTGGCCGCAAATTTGGATCTGAAAGTGTGCATGCCACCCCCAAATTCACTAACCTCACCAGTTCCCTGTGATCATACTCTCCATCCAATCTCCAATCCACTAGTTCCACTAATGGTTTCTTCTGTGACTCAAATTTGCGAACCTTCTTCACTAGAAGTACCTCAGGCCACCGGAAGTCGGCTGCCATCTGGCCAGTTACAGCCTCAAGCACCACCACACCAAAGCTATAAACATCAGCCAATGGAGTTGCTTCACCTGATTCTATGTACTCTGGTGACATGTATCCAAAGATCCCACGAACTGATCTTTTTGGATTGGCAACCACATGATGGCCATGCTCATTCCGAGTCAGGAATTCAGCAAGGGCAAAGCTACTTAGACGTGGGTTCATGTCAGGATCAAGAATAATGGCAGAAGAAGTGATGTTTCTATGAATGACCTGTTCTTCCCATTCCTCATGGAGGTAAAGGATGGCAGATGCAAGTGATCTGATTATGTTGTACCTATGTCGCCATTTTAAAACATGATTCTCTGTCTTGTGGTGATGATGGAAGAGGAGGTGACTAAGCAGGCGATTTGCCGAATAGTCATAGACAACCAGCATCTCACCTTGTTCAGTACACCACCCACGTAGCTGTACCAGGTTGCGGTGGCGGAGTCTCCCAAGGTTTTGAAGCTCATCACAGAACCGTGCCCGCAGTGCAGGGCATGTTTTCATCCCAAGTCGCTTCACCAGGACATGCTGACAGCTTTCCAGGTAACCATGGTAAGCAGTACCAAAGTCCAGCTCTGCAACTCTATGATCATCAGAGAAGTTGTTTGTAGCAGTGATGATTTCCTTGAAGGATATTTCCCTGGGTGTATCAACTGGGGGAAGGGTGGTATCAGCTGAGGGAAAGCTGGTTGCACAGTAGGTACTGCTGTCACAAGGACCAATGCTATCACCATGATGAGGAGCAGTAAGGAACATAGTCTCACCGGGGGCGGTGACATAACCAGAAGAATTAGATGTAGCTGTTGTGGTGGCTGTATCAGATGTGCTGGAGGAAGACAAAGTTATGTATAGAGGATGGAACTGGAATGATGGGAGTGCTGGCAATTCGCCGATGCAAGTTCCGGCAAGTGCTTCCATAACCCATTTCATGTTAGGCCTGGATTGTGGGTCACTGAGGGAACAGAGGAGCCCAACATGGATTAAGCGTTCCATGTCTGAAAGCTTGTAAGATCCATCCTGCAGTCTACTATCTCCAGCTTGCAAACACTTGCCCTCATCAGATAAACGTCTTACCCAGTCAAGCAGGATGATCTGCTCATCAGGGTATGTGAGATCGATGGCTCGCCGACCAGAAGCCACCTCCAATGCAACAATCCCAAAGCTGAACACATCAGCTTTTGCTGTCGCAGTACTTCGTTTCTGGAAGCTCTCAGGCGGCAAATACCCAATTGTACCACCAATTCTGGTTGTATCTGCCAACCGGAAATGGTAACTTCTTGTCGACCACGACATACGCAGTGGGGTGGGATATTCCAGTTCATGCTCCAGCCACCGGGCCAAGCCGAAGTCACCCAGCCGTGCATTATAGTGCGAGTCAAGCATCACGTTGCTCGTCTTCACATCACGGTGGATGATCTGTGTCTCTAGCTGCTCATGGAGATAGAAGAGTGCAGCTGCCAGGCCAGAGACGATTCGCCAACGGCGTTCAAAGTTGAGAACTGCAGACCCTGAACCATCGGGCCGCCGAAAGAGGATGCGATCAAGGCTGCGGTTTGGCATGTAATCGTAGACAAGGAGTAACTGGTCTTCGTGAGCACACCATCCCCTGAGCCGAACAAGGTTCCGGTGCCGGAGTTGAGCCACCGCCACCAGCTCTGCTGCGAATGTCTTCTCAAACCGCTCCCCTTTCTCTGCCACGCACTTCACTGCAACCACAGTTCCATCACTTGGTAGCACCGCTCTATACACACGGCCGAAACCGCCACTCCCAAGCACCTGATCCTCGCTGAACCCATTAGAGCCTATGTAGAGCTCGGCATAGCTGAAAATTCTCGGATTGTCACTACCAACCTTGTCCGACAGTACAACCCCAGCCATATCCTGAAAATCGCAAGTACCGGAGTACTGCTTTTCATAACACTGACGGAACGGGAACCATTCCCAGTCACTGAACCGGCGTAGCAATTGGCGAACGAAAGCAAGAATCCGGCGGTGGTACCCGAGGCCATCTTTCTTTGTGGAGAGCTGGTTCGGGCGACAACCGGACAGTTCAATTTCATCGACATCGGCCGGTAACATGAAACAAAGGCGACCCAGCTGCATTGCGGCGGCGGGAGAAGCGGAGCTTCACCGGCAAGGCGTCAATCACATGGATATGACTTGGCACTCAATGGAGAGGAGAGGTGGGAGAATTTGGTTTGTGATGATGTTTCATGTCTGTGTGTTGTGCATTTATTCTACTCCTTGATAGGTTGCAGATTTGAATTTTATGGGCGGACCGGACTGGACCGAACCAGTGAGAGGCGACCGGTTTGACGTCAAGAAAGAAGATTATTTTTCTGAATTTTCTCGATTTCTGTTAGTCTTCTAGAACAGAAGCAAAGAAGTAGCTTGACACGTGGTGGACAATGAGGCCTATCTGCTGACTTGGACACTGTGGGGCCAGATTAATTAGGGGAGGCAGACAGGCAATTGTGCCGAGAGTCTTGGAGGGAGATTGGTCCATGTGTCCAGCTTCTTGTGGATTATTAGCTTTGCCACGTGGCATATGGACCATCTGGGGTAGCTCGCTGGCTGGTTGCCTACTATTGTACTACGTCCTTTCTTTATAATTAGGGATTTTTTGAGAGTCAAAGGTACCACTTGTTGTATTTTACTGCAATAGGACCCAATCTTAATCATCAATCAGGCCTTTTGAAGTTGATATGTGGGCTATTGTCTGTTATTAGAATAACATATTATAATACTCGATAGTAAACATCAATCTGACGAATCCAGTGTAAGACTTTGACTTATCTTCAATCAGAGGGTGGAGAGTGTAACGCCTCCGTCATCTCCGATGCTTCGCCAACGTGGGATAGTTTCTTGATAAATCATCAAGCGGTTGGTAGTTGGTGCCGACCGTATTCACGGGTATGTAAATGTAAACTTTTAGTTTTAGGGCTGTGACGAGTGACGATGTCCAGAAGTTGATACGGTGGTCCCCCCTAAGCGTACACATGAAAGATCCAACCGTCCAACAAGGGCACAATAAATCCCTTTTTGCGAGCACAGGTAGAAGGTGACAGATGTTCAGGATCCAACTTTTGCTGGGTCCCACCAGAAGCTACTTCTAATAGGCTCAAGATATCAATCATTGACTTCGGGACTTCATTCTGTTTCTTGATTGCCGAAACGTCAAATCCAAATAAAAAGTCTGTAGATCAGACGGTGCATATCCGTCAATCATGCTGATACTGCCAAGGAAATCTACTTGGTAGGGCCCATTTAGTAGTGGGTAGAAATATAAGCTGCAAAAGCAAGTTGGCAATGGATAAGAAAAATAGAAAATGGTCCCACTTTTATTCATAAAAAGGAAATTGCAATAAAAAAAAGGTTGACTTTATTGTCTACCTCTTTTTAAAAGAGGGACCGGTACTTTTCACGTTATTATTATTATTATTATTATTATTATTATTATTATTATTATTATTATTATTGACGATAATGATGATGAAAGATGATTTTTTTAATGATTATGATGAAATAGGGGCCTCTTTGGTTTAAGGTCAGAATCGAAATTAGAATTGGATCTATTGGAATCAGAATGTGAATGTATTGTTCCCATGATTTCTTTGGTTCATACAGAAATTGAAACGAGAACTGAAATCAATCGGAATGGGGTTTCATTCTACGGGAAGGGGAGGGAATGCATGTTTTAGAGGTGTAATCGGATTGTGTTGGGTCAGTGTGGCATGACCCACTTGTGGCCCAAGCAAAGAGCAGGCCGAGCCGAAACTTACTTCCCTCCCTTGGGATAAGTTGGGGGCTTGGACCGGAAAAGCCCACTTGAGCCTATGCGGGTTCGATCCATGCTGTTTTGGGCTGTAAGCCTAGTCCGAGCAAGCTGCAAACCATGTTGTGGGCTTGGGCCATGTTGGGATTGGGCTGAACCGGGCCAAAAAGGCCTAGATTTTTCTTTCCTTTTTTTTTTTTGCTAACTTTCCTTTGGGGACAAATTGAAAAAAAAAAGTCTAACAAAGAAATAAAAAAATACTTACCAAGATACAAAATGGACAACAAATTAGAAAAAAATAGGAATTTTATTTTATTTAAAATATAAAAAATTACAAATTGAAAACAAAAAGTTACATTTTTGAAAAAAATAACAAATAATTTAAATAAAATTGAAAAAAAATTGTACCATCTCCTTGACTTTAATCATATGCTTCATCAGGTGTAGTAGTGTCATGCCCATCTTTGTCTTATAATTTATCCTCAGCATCAAACAAATCTTTAAAGTAGATGTCTTTTTCTTGTTTCTCATGGAAGAGCAAATGGTTGGCCAAGTGGCCATTACCACCCTTGCTACTGAAACTAAAGTCAATCCTACATTTTTGGAAAATAACTCTTTTTTCCTTCCCCTCAACCTCCTCTATTTTCCAAATCGGTCCATCAAACTTACTATTGGGAATTGGTTTTAGAAAGAGGAGCCAACCATTTTTTTAATTCTAGAAAAGTAAAAATTAATTTAATTGCATTTACTCGGATGGTCAGATTACTGATTTACAATCTCAACTTGATTTCAATGGTTGAAGCATCTCAACGCTTCTTAAATGGCTAAATTGCTAAGTGCCTAAGTGCCTAAATGCATGACAGTATGACAAAATGGACTGTATGAAAATTGAGATGAGAGATTGTGAGAGTACAAGAATTGCTGAATTGGTGTGATGAGAATAGTGGACTAGTGTGGAGGATAGGGTTATTTATAGGAATTGAAAATAATTCAATTGCCAAAAATACCCTAAAAACTAGCCATTTTTAGTTGTTGGGAGGGGTATTTTGGTCATTGTGAAGTCATTTATCAATTTACCCAAATGCCCTCAAAGTCCCAAATAACTAGCTGTTATATAGGATATAGGCATATAGCTGTTGGAGGGGCATTATTATCTTTTTCTTCCCCCAAAGCCAAAATACATAAATACCTCCCCTATATAGCTATTTATAGGCTTATAATTGTTGATTGAGGGGTATTTATGTAAAAACTGCAACTAGTCGTTTGGGGGTCTCCCAAGGGCCCTAACGACTAGTTTTTTCGAACGGGTTACACTCAGCTCGTTATGGGCCTGTGGGCCGTACTGTGTCACGTGTCGTGCCAGCCCACGAATTTGAACCCCCGACCCAACACGGCCCACATGATCGTGTCGTGCCTGGCACAATCCTATTTACACCTCTACTTTTGGGAATATGCTGAATTTGTTCATACTTCACTTCTTCTCTCTGTTTTTTCAATAAAATTGAGAAAGGGAAGGACTGTATTTTGATAAGCATTTGGGAGAGATACGAGTTATGAACCTTGAGAGATTGAGTGAAGCTCTGGTTTGAATGTGTTTAGAGTTTATATGCTATATTGTTTTTGGGCAATTTTTTTTCCAAATGATATTGGCTTCTTCCCTAATCACTGATTCTAGCGGCTGGTGGCAGCGAGTCGAGCTTTTCACGAGCTATTTGAACTGGGCTTGACTTGGTTTAAACCAAGTTTCGAGCCAAGCTCAAGCTCAATTTACAAAATCATTTGCTAATTGAGCTAAGCTCGAGCCTAATAAAGAATTGAGCTTCTACATACATACATACATACATACATACATACATACATACATACATACATACATACATAATATATATATGTATATATATGTAATAGTTTTATTTTTATATATAATAATAATAACTAATTAATATAATTATTAATTTCTTTAAATATCAAATAAAAATAAATTTTTATATATAATTTTTTACTTTTATAAAACATTTGACTCATAGTCAAGCTCGAGTTTATAAGCTTTTGACTCAAGCCGAACTCGAGCTCAAGTCTTTAACTCAAATCAAGTTCAAGTTTGAGCCTCATACTATCTTGGCAAACTGAGATCGAATTGGTAAATATTCGAATTGGCTCAGCTCGAATCCACTCCTATTGATTTAGCTATTAATTTACAAAATCATAAACGATTTTGCTATTTTAACAAAGTTTGTTATTTTTCTACAAAAAGTTGTTGTCATGACTAAGGGATACACCACCAAAACACACTTTCTTATTTTCACCAAACACATTAAAGTGATACTCTCGCCTACCCACAAGATTTTATAGGCATGCATTGGGAATATCTCCCTTGACATTCATGGGAGATGTTGCCAGTACACACGGTTAGTGTGTAGGGACGTGGGAAAAATCCGTAGTGCTTTTTTTTAGTCCAGAGTACAAATCCGTAGTTCTCTAAATCAACACAACTTACCCCAACAATGGAAGATACCTCCTTCATTTTGGGTAAAGCAGCAATTCCATAGCTATATCGTTAAGTAGCTTGCTTTGATCAAACAGGAGGTGTCAGGTTATATAGTTAAAGTACTTGGGTTGTTAATAACATATTAAGCCAAATTAATAAGTTGTCTGTCAAACGTTCATTTCTTGATACATAAATTAGCATATATGGATGGAAGAGGTCAAAATAATTAAATAATAGGGCCTACCAGGCTACCAGAGAAAGAAAATAAATAGCTCAATGTCCGGTTATTTGCTTTCACTTACCGTGGGAAAAAACTCAAGAAGGACGTTTTTAGTTCAACCACAACGACTTTGCAACTCGGTTGGATCGAAAATGTGCTATTTATGTTACAGTAAAACCAATGGTACCGATTAGAAGAAATGAGAAAAATAATATGTTAATAACATTAAGTTCACATCTCTGCCTCATAAGAGCCGCCCCATAATGTCCCACGGTACATCCCCGCCGTGTACTAGAACATTTCCCAATGATAATACTAGGGGTGTCAATTGGACTGGATTTGGTCCAATCTGGTCCAGTCCAATGTGAGTCCATTACAAATGGACCTGGTCCAATCCAGTCTAATGAATATTTTGGACCATTTTGGACCGGTCTAGAGACTGCTCAATCTGTTCAAATTCTTGTTAATTTAGATTGATTTCAACTCAAACCTGGTCCATTGACAACTATGTTCTTATCTTCTATCAATGGATCAGATATTGGCTCAATCCAATATAAATTCATTATGGACGGACCACGTCCATCCAATATGTTATTATGGTCCGTCCAGTCCGTCCAAATTCAATATGTCTTATTGGTCTGTCCAATTCATTTGGACGGAGTCCAACCCAAAACCGGTCCATTGACACCCCTAGATAATACTAGTC